TAGGAAAGAGGTCTGAACATTTCTTGAAGAATGGAGGGGGGTGACTTTTTTATTCTTGACCTTTCCAGTTCTCCATTTGGGGGCAGGATGTCCTCTGGGCCAATGTTTTGTTCCCTTTGCAGGGAGTGCAGCCTCAGAGGGCTGAGCCCTCTCTGGCTGGGCTTGGCCTCTCGTGCAGAGACTCAGGCCTGGCTGGGCTGCCCCAGGCAGACGCTGCAGGAAGAAGAGCTCAGGCCGCCTGGCTCTGGTGTCCCTGGGGCTCAGCCTGTGCCCCATTGCTGGGCAGGGGCTGAGCCCCACCTCTGCCTCGGGGCCTTGGCCAAAGGGCTGGCAAGGAAGAGGCCCAGCAGCCTTGGGGCCTGCCCAGCTTTTCTCCTCCCTGGGGGCTCTCAGTCCTCCCCTGACACCGTGTGGGCCCAAGGCCTTGCTGGCTTCGGGCTCACGGCCCGCCGGCACCATCCCAGCGGCCTGACCCCCCTCCTTCCCCTCTCTCCAGCCTCTCCTGCCTTTGCTGGCAAGGGGCCATCCAAGGAAAAGCCCGGTTCTCAGCAATGGCACCTGTGGCACGGCTGCAAGGCTCGAGTGGGCCAGGCAAGAGCAGGAGCAGCGAGAGCCTGAGGAGCCAGGAGATGCCCTGGCTGGGCATCGTGCTGCTGCGGGACGAGCTGACACCTCTGCACAGTCTCTGCCCGTCCCTGCCAGCCGACTTCTGCCCAGGCTCTGGGCACGGGGACGCAGCGCTGACAGTTTTCAGCCCCCGCGCTGTTCCACAGAGGCTGTGATGTCACAAGGCCCTTGCCTGGCAGCCAGGAGATGGGCAAGGCAAGGCAAGGACGGAGCCTCGGAGCCACCAGCACGCTGTCCCCAAAGGCTGGGCTGGCACAGAAGCCCAGAGTCCCTGAGCTTGGCAGAGACTTGTGAGATCAACCGGGGTCCATCCTACGCCCCATCCCCAGCACGTCAAGCAGACCACGGCACTCAGTGCCATGGCCAGGCTTTGCTTAAACACCTCCAGGGACGCTGACTCCACCACCTCCCTGGGCAGCCCATTTCAATACCTAATCCCTGTTTCTCTCCAAAAAGTCCTGCTCCTCTCCCTGACAAACAGCCCCTGACAGGCAGGTCCTCGGGTCCTCTTGTCCTGTCGCCTGTTGCATCGGAGAAGGGGCTGACCCCCACCTGGCTCCAGCCTCCTGTCAGGAAGTTGTGGACAGGGAGAAGGTCAGCCCCGAGCCTCCTCTTCTCCAGGTTGGAGAAGCCCAGCTTCCTCAGCTGCTCCTCACAGGCCATGCACTGCACACCCTTGCCCAGCTCCATTGCCCCGCTCTCCACCCACTGCAGCCCCTCAAGGTTCTCCCTGAATTGAGGGGCCCAGAGCTGGACACAGCACTCCAGGGGTGGCCTCACCAGTGCCCAGTCCAGCAGAAGCATCACTGCCCTGCTCCTGCTGCCACACTCTTTCTGATCCAGGCCAGCCTGCCCTTGGCCTTCTTGCCCACCCGGGCACCCGCTGGCTCAGGTTCAGCCTCTGTCCACCAGCACCCCCAGGGCCTCTCCCACGGGGACCCTTTGCAGCTCCTCTGCCCCCGGCCTGGAGCTGCAGGGGGTTCTTGTGGCCAGAGGCCCCAAAGGCACCAAAGGCACTCTTGAACCTCATGCCCACGGGCTCAGCCCAGAGGTCCAGCCTGTCCAGGTTCCTCTGCACAGCCTTCCTACCCTCCAGCACATCCACACTGCAAGCCAGCTTGGGGTCCTCTGCCAATTTGCTCATGGAAGACTCAATGCCCTCCTGCACATCCCCATGAAAAATAGGCAACAGGACTGGGCCTGTTACCCAACAAGTTCTAGTGCTTGACAAAGGAGCCCACCCAGCAGTGGGGAGAAACTGCTGGCAGGAGATTGAATGGGGGCAATAGACAATGGATGATGGACAAGTTCTGGCCCATGGCCATTTGTTAGAAAAACAAAGTAAAAGTTTAAGGTCTGCCATATTTCAGTGTCTGCTAAAATGTAGAAATTGTTAAGAGTTTTGAGAACTGATGTACAGGTGTTAGAGAGCAATTGCTGTGTCCCTTCAGCGCTGAATGAAGTAGGGTCACCTCTGGAACCCAACCAACTGCTCAGAGATTTTATTCCCCAGCTTTCACTGACAGTTTCTGGGGACCCAGATGAGACAAAGCAGCGCCGACAGGGCAGAGCAGAGGAATCGTTGGCCCTGCAGCGTGTACCAAAGGAGTTTTGGGGAGATCTTCCAGTTCCCTGTTCTGGAGAGTTCACCACGCCTTCTTTTCTGGGAAAAAGAACAGGCCATGAATTTTGGGTCCTTGATTTTAAGGCCTTTGGCCTGCACATAAGGCACAGCACTGGGAAGGACGCAGCGTGAGGCTGAGAGGTTTCTGTCCTGGTTTGTGGGCTTGGGTGAGATTGGGCCAGAATTACAGGACACCTGTAAAATCTGGGCTTTGGGAAAGGTTGGGGAGGGTTGGGAAAGGTGTTCAAAGGGTGGTTTTGCCTGAGGTGTTAAACATGGGAGGGGGTCTGTCTTCCCAATTCCCAAGAGAAGAGATCCCAGAAAGCTCCCCTGCAGGTTGTGTTTTAAGGCACAGGAGAAGAGACCGAGGGTAAGGGGTTTCTTTCCTGGAGGGCAGGGCTGTCGTTCACTTGCAGGAGCCCTGTGCTGAAATTGCCAGTCTGACTGCCCAAACTGAACACAGCTGAAGATTCCTGCCAGACAAAAAGGGCCAGCACAGAAAGTTCTTGCTGCCCATGGAGTGCCCAGGGTGGCCCCCAACTGCATCTGAAACCCAAAGGTTCCAGGCTTTCTTTCCTGGGGGAAAGGCCGTGACATCCCAAAGAGTCCCGTGGCAGACAGGTGGGGCTGCACTGTGGGGGTGTGAGGTGTTGATTCTTTGGTTGCCAGGGGCTATTCCAGAATGGAGAGGACAGGCTGTGACACCACAAAGGGGCCCATGGCACAGGGGTTGGGCTGCACTGGGGGCTGTGAGACATTGGTGTTTTGGTTTCCAGCAGCCATTCTGGAATGGAGGGGAAAGGCCGTGACATCACAAGAGGACCCATGGCACAAAGGTGGGGCTTCACTCTGGGGTTGTAGGGCGTTGGTTCTTTGGTTGCCAGGGCCTCTTCTGGAATGGAGAGGACAGGCTGTGACACCACAAAGGAGCCCTTGGCACACGAATGGGGTTGAACTGTCACATGGTGGGGGCTTGGTTCTTTGGTTTCCAGAGGCTATTCCGGAATGGAGAGGATAGGCCAGAATGGATAGGACAAAAAAAGGGCCCAAAGCACATGGGTTGGTCTGCACTGTGGTGTGGGGTGTTGGTTCTTTGGTTGCCAGGGCCTATTCTGGAATGGAGAGGACAGGCTGTGACAAGAAGTGCCTGTCAGAACTGCAAAGACGGGCGCACAAGAATCTTATGTGGGCATATTCTCTGCTCTGCCCTGCACATCTTTGTGCTGGGGTCAAAACTCAGCCTCTCTGCTTCCCTCTCCTGAGGGACTTGTTCTTAGACATCCCTTTCCCCTGCGCTCCTTTCAAAAACCCTCCTGGTAATTCTCAAGCCTGTACCCGGCTCTCATCCCCTCTCTGTCCTCTTCCCAATCCCTTGGTCAATCCCAACATCCCAGGACAGGGATCCCAGTTGCTTGGCTGCACTCCCACCTAGTTCCATATGCTGGGCCATGATATCCCACAGGTCAGCTGGGGATGGGGATCTGGTGATTATCTCTGGCCCTGCCTCTTGCTCCTGTTCTGAGGGCTCTGCTTCCCCTTCATCCCTCACTAACTGAGCTGATTTGGTCTTGGATTTCTTCTGTAGAGGGGCAACTGCTACTGGCAAGGGTTGTTCCTCTGCAGTTTGAGTGGCCACGGTACCTCTTGGTCTCCTTTCCTCCTCCTCCCCCTGAGGGCACTGGGTCTTAGTTTAACAAGATTCCAACTTAGAAATTAAGAGACTTCAGGTGGAAGTGTGGAAAAGGAAAAGAAGAAACCTTTTATTAACCAAATCTGAATAAACAACAAATGGTGCAACCAAAAACTTTCAGAAGAAACCAAAGAAAGTCCCAAATCCCCAGGTGGGGGGGAGAAACTGTCCCGGCAGTTCAAAGCTCTCGCAGCCCCGTGTGCTCGCAGCCAGCAGTGAAGGAGTCCCTTTTCCCAGGGGCAGTCCCCAAAGCAGAACACCTCGCTCCCAGATGGGTCGGGCTCTCTCTCTCTCTCTCTCTCTCTCTCTCTCTCTCTCTCTCTCTGGTCGTTCTCCACGAGGTGTCCAGGGGGGGAAAAATCTTCCTCTCAGGAAAAGAGAAGAAGGTGGCCAAAATCAGCTCCCGCTCTGTCCGGTCCCGGACAAACCCCAAAAGCCCCCGAACAAAGGACCCCCCGCCCTCCCCGCGGCCACCGCGGTGTCCCCGAGAGCCGCCCTCCCCCCACTGCCCCTGCCCAGCGCCTGCGGCTCCGCTCCAACCCACCCCATCCCGGGAGACACAGATGGCAATGGGGGGGACACTGGGAAACAATTCCAACACCTCTTTTCAAACCTCTGACACCTGCTTCCCAGACATTCCCAAAGAAGGGGCTTCCCGTGGCCTCGAGCCAGGGACCGACCTTTGTATTGAACCAACTCCTGGAGAGACACGTTCCCATCCCTGTCCCCATTCCCATTCCTGGGGTTCCCATCCCTGTCCCCATTCCAATTCCTGGGGTTCCCATCCCTCTCCCCATTCCCACTTCCTGCTGTGCCAACCTGCTCCCAGTGTCCCCGTTCCTGTCCCCACTATCCCTATCCTGGTCTCCCATGTCCCCATTCCCATTCCCGGTGTCCCAATTCCCATTCCTGGTGACTCCAACCTGCTCCCAATGTCCCCATTCCCATTCCTGGAGTTCCCATTCCCATACCTGCTGTCCCCAACCTGCTCCCAGTGTCCCCATCCCTGTCCCCAGTGTCGCCATCCCAGTCCCCCCTGTCCCCATTCCTATTCCTGGTTCCCACAGAGGAACTGCCGGATGCCGGAGGAGGGAGCCAGGATTTATTGCCCAAAGCAGGAGATTTTCACACCCAAATTAAAGCCTCCGGAATAATTGCGGTCCTGGGTTTCACACGGGAAAAAGTAAGAAGTTGATCCATTGGGAAGAGCCCCGGGGGGCCGGGGTGGGTGGGAGCAGCGGGATGAGCTCTGCCAGCAGCTCCTGCCTTTCCGCAGGGAGAGGGAAGGGGCGGATCCAGCTCCGGGATTGCTCAGGCCGTGATTCCTGCTGGGATGAGAGTGGGGAAAGGAGTCACCATGTCCCTGTTCCCATCCCAGGGGATGGAGCCGGCTGTGGAGTCCAGGGAGAGTAGGAACTGCTCTGGAATCCCACCTGATCCTGCTCTGTCCATCCCACCCCAATCCCACTTCATCCTTCCCACCCCAATCCCACTCCAGAATCCAGTCCTAATCCCAGTCCACAATTCCACCTGAGCCCACTCTGGAATCCTGCCCTGAGCTGGAATCCCCTTCCAATCCCGCTCCAGCCATTAGGTCCCCATTCCCCTCTGGAATCCCGGCCTCCATCCTGGGATCCCTGCCCAGAGGATCTGGATCCACACATGCTGCTGGGACTCACTGGTGGGCGCGGGGTCGTATCCATTCCCCTCCCTCTTCCCTATGGAAAGAAAGCGGGATCAGCACCCGTGGTACAGGATCCCCGGAATGCTGCCGGGCGGATCCGTGCCCCTTCCCGACCCCCATCCTGGGAGTTACCGGATCGGAGCTTCCAGACACCGACTCCCAGGAGGCCGATGATGATGATGATGGCAGCGATGAGGGACACAGTGTCCTAGTTAGAACAGCTGGGACCGATTCCTCACTGGATGGGTGTAGCCCAAAACTGTGGATTCTCTGGCCTTCCATGCCATTTTCCCAGGAACTGTTGTCAGGAGAGGCCTGCGAGGTGGGGGGGATGTCCTGAGCACCCTCATATCCTTTTATGGACTGAGCATCCTCATAGCCTTTTATGGACTGAGCATCCTCATAGCCTTTTATGGAATTGCCCGTTCTGAAAGAAAAATTAAGCATCCTTTTATGGAATTGCCCGCTCTGAGGGGAGGACTGGGCATTCCTACCTCAACTGGAGAATATATAAACCTGGAGTTTCAGAACCTTTTTACCACTCGTGGGATCCAGAGGAGGACTGCAGCTCACCACTCTCAACCAGCCTGAGACCACCCCCCTCAACTGGACTGCAACCACCACTTCTGACCAGACTGCAACAGCTCTCTCACCAGTAGGTTTTTTTTCCCCTCTCCCTTTACTTTGGACTCGGGGGGGGTCCAAGGAACAGCACTTTGTTCATGGCCCAGGGTGCTGGGTTCTACATTTGGGTTTTGTGGATTAAAACCAATTGCTTGTCTGTATAATCAGACTTATTGGGCAAGGGGGGCCCAAGGGGGGCCCAAGGGGGCTGGGCCAGGGGGGGAAGGGCTGCAGGAGGTGGATCCCGGAGGAGGAAACCTGCCAAAAGCGGCGGCCCAGCCGAGGGAGGAGCCGAGCGGGAGCACAAAGAAGAGCAGCCCAAAGGTCCTGGGGGTGGCTCGGCAATGGCGGGGGGGGCGAGAGCGGTTTGGGGGCCCCCCGTGAGAGCCGGGGGGGAACCCCGGTAGCCGCGGAGTGGGGAGAGCGGAGAGGGGCGATCCCGGAGCTGGGGGACCCCCGGAATGCTGGAGGGGGGGGAGCAGAGAGGGAGCGCCGGGCCCCTTAAGCGGGGGTCCCGGAGAGGGGGAAGGCCTTGGAGTGTGGAGAGGAGGGGGGGCCTTGAGGCGGGGTGGGAGCCGAGAGCGCCAAGAGGTTTGCGAGGGTGGGAGGCGAGAGAGGAGGGCCGGCCGGCCCCGGGAGGCCGAGTGGGGAGAAGGGAGCCCTGGGACCCCCCTGGCAGCACTAAAAGGGACCCCAGCGGGTGGGAATCCCCCGGAGCAGTGGGACCCCCGGCAGCCCGGAGAAGGGGGACCCCCAATGCAGGCAGAAGTGCCATCAGACCAGACAGGGGGGACCCCCCTAACCCCACAGAGTAGAGAGGGGGAACTCCTGGGAGGGGTCTTTGGGTTGAATGTTGTTGTTTTGGGGTTTTTATGGGCACAAGATGCCCAGTGAGTCCTAGAGCTGAACTTGGGCAGGAGGAACCCCCAAGGCAACGCACTCACCCCTTGTTTTTCCCCCCCAAGCAGAATTTCTGCTTCCCAAAGCTTGGGCGGATGGAGGAGGAGGCTGCGAGGAAGAGGAAGATGCCGTGGGCCCCCCAGGCAGGTGAGGAGGAAGTCAGTGCCCCTTTGGGTCAGTCTTTTGTCTTTTGTGGCCCTCCTGCTGGGGCCGGAGTTGGGGGGATGTCCTTGGGTTCCCTGTGGGCCGAAGGTAAATCCCCTGCGTGTCCTTGTTGCTTCCTGCCCCAGGCCCCGAGGTGAGGCCGGAGAGCGCGGAGGACAAATCCCGGCGGCAGAGCCTGGTGGGAGAGGCCGTTTTGAAGGGCTCCCCGGCGCAGGAAGGCAGCGGGGAGGAAAAGGGCCGGAGATGCCCCCGCAGGAGGGGCTGCAAAGCCAGCCCAGGGGGCTGTGAGGAGGAAAGAGCCAGCGTGTGCCGGGAAGGCGGCCGGAGCTTGAGGCGGAGCTGCGAGCTGGTGGTCCCTGAGCAGCCTCCCAGCAGGGAAAAGGCCTTCAGGTGTTTGGAATGTGGGAAGAGCTTCAGCAAGAGATCCGACCTCCTGAGGCACCAGCATATCCACACTGGGGAACGGCCCTACACGTGTGGGGAGTGTGGGAAGAGCTTCAAACGGAGCTCCCACCTCCTCAGCCACCAGATGATCCACAGTGGGGAAAGGCCCTACACATGTGCGGAGTGTGGGAAGAGCTTCAGGCACAGCTCCACCCTCCGCAACCACCGTCGCATCCACAGTGGGGAACAGCCCTACACGTGTGGGGAGTGTGGGAAGAGCTTTAGGAAGAGCTCCAACCTGCTCCAACACCAGATGATCCACAGTGGGGAAAGGCCCTACATGTGTGAGGAATGTGGGAAGAGTTTCACTCACATCTCCGACCTGCTACGACACCAGATGATCCACAGTGGGGAAAGGCCCAACATGTGTGAGGAATGTGGGAAGAGCTTCACTCAGAGCTCCCACCTGCTCCAACACCAGGTGATCCACAGTGGGGAAAGGCCCTACACGTGTGGGGAATGTGGGAAGAGCTTCACTCGGAGCTCCCACCTGCTCCGACACCAGATGATCCACAGTGGGGAAGGCCCTACACGTGTACGGAGTGTGGGAAGAGCTTCAGGGACAGCTCCAGCCTTTGCAAACAACGTTGCATCCACACCAGGGAATGGCCCTACAAGTGCTTGGAATGTGGGAAGAGCTTCAGCACAAGCCCCAAGCTGCTCAGCCCCCAGCACATCCACACTGGGGAACAGCCCTACACGTGTAGGGAATGTGGGACAGCTCCACCCTCTACACCCACCGTCGCCTCCACATCAGGGAGAGGCCCTTCCACTGTGGGGAGTGTGGGAAGAGCTTCAGGCAGAGCTCTTCCTTGACCTCCCACCCACGGACCCACCAGTAATGGAAGCCCCGAGTGCCCCGACTGCGGGAAGAGCTTCGGCCGCTGCTCCAACTCCATCAGCCATGGGAGGACCCGCGTTGGATGATCCACAGGGACCCCCGTTGGGCACAGACCTGGTGTGCTGGTTTAATGGTAAACCAGCAGGGGAAACGTCAGCGGTGACACCTGGAATGGGATGGAACACCTGGAAAGGGAATGAGAATGCCTGGAATGGGAATGGAGACATAAATAATGGGATTGGGACAATAGCAATGGGATGGGAACACCAGGAATGGAAATGGGAAGACCTGGAATTGGAATGGGGACATTGGGAACAGACTGGGGACACTAGGAATGGGAATGGGGGCAGAAGGAATGGGAATGGGGACACGTGGAATGGGGAGGGAACACCTGGAATGGGAATGGAGACACCTGGAATGGGAACACCTGGAATGGAAATGGGGACACCAGGAATGGAAATGGGGACACCAGGAATGGAAATGGGAACACCTGGAATTGGAATGGAGACACCTGGAATGGGAACACCTGGAACGGGAATGGAGACACCTGGAATGGGAATGGGGACACCAGGAATGGAAATGGGAACACCTGGAATTGAAATGGAGACAACTGGAATGGGAACACCTGGAATTGGAATGGAGACAACTGGAATGGGAACACCTGGAATTGGAATGGAGACACCTGGAATGGGAACACCTGGAATGGGAATGGGGACACCAGGAATGGAAATGGGAACACCTGGAATTGAAATGCAGACACCTGGAATGGGAACACCTGGAATTGGAATGGAGACACCTGGAATGGGAACACCTGGAATGGGAATGGAGACACCTGGAATGGGAATGGGGACACCAGGAATGGGAACGGGAACACCTGGAATTGAAATGGAGACACCTGGAATGGGAATACCTGGAATTGGAATGGAGACACCTGGAATGGGAACACCTGGAATTGAAATGGAGACACCTGGAATGGGAACACCTGGAATTGGAATGGGGACACCAGGAATGGAAATGGGAACACCTGGAATTGGAATGGAGAAACCTGGAATGGGAACACCTGGAATTGGAATGGAGACACCTGGAATGGGAATGGGGACACCTGGAATGGGAATGGGGACATCAGGAATGGGAATGGGGTTGCCTGGGCTGGGAATGGGAACATTGGGAATGGGAACATTGGGAGCAGGTTGGGGACACCAGGAATGGGAATGGGAACATCTGGGATTTGAATGGGCACACCTGGAATGGGAATAGGGAAAACAGAGGTGGGATGGGAATACCTGGAATGGGAATGGGGACAATAGGAATGGGAATGGAGACACCTGGAATGGGAATGGGAACACCAAGAACTGGGAATGGGGAAACCAGAAGTGGGATGGGAACACCAGGAATGGGAGGAGGGACAATGGGAATGGGAATGGGGACACCTAAAATGGGATGGGACACCTGGAAAGGGAATTGGAACACCTGGAATGGGACTGGGAACATCTGGAATGGGAATGGGAACACCTGGAATGGGAACTCCTGGAATGGGAATGGGGACACCTGGAATGGGATGGGAACAACTAGAATGGGATGGGAACACCTGGAACAGGAATGCAAACCCGTGCAATGGGAATGGGAACCCCCGGGCCCGGGCTGTGTCCCTGGTGAAACAGGAGGCCAGGCCCAAAAGAGTTCACGAAGAAATTTGGGCCTGCTAACAAGCTCCCAACATCCAAGCCCATCTGTGCTCGTTCTGTTCTACTGACTGGAGCAAAGCTTCAGAGAATAGTACAGGAACATGTCCTAGGCCTCGAGGGGATAAATTAGAGAGACAGCAGGATCAGGGAGACATTGGAATAGGGGGAATAGGCCGGGAGCCAGGGCTTTTTCCAAGCTTCAGGGAGCGGGTCAAGAACAATGGAAGAGAAGGAAGGTCAAGCTGAGGAAGATGAGTTGAAGCCCCCAGAGCCATGGAGGAAGAGTGGAAGTCCCCTCAGGATTGAGGGCCAAGAGAAGCACCGCCCCAAGCCCCGCCTGAGCTCCACCTATACTCCGCCTGTTCTTAATATGCAGAGAGAGATGTTGGAATCCCTTGAATATGCATTTAATCCCAGCTGAAGATTGTATAAAAATGCTGATTTTGTGTGAAGCCTTGGAGCAAGTTTGTCCAGCGCGAGCTGGCTTGCTCCCAACGTTGAATAAACAAATACCTGGCTGCTTAAAGAGAAAAAAGTCTCTGAGCAGTTTCTCGGACCGATTTTTCGGATTCAGTGCCCAGTCAGTCCCAGGATGATCCCAGTCACTCCTGCTCTCTCCCAGTTGCTCCCAGTTTCCTCCATGTGGTCCCACTCATTCCCAGTTGCCCCCAGAAGCTTCCAGCAGGATCCCAGTTGCTCACAGCCACTTCCAGTCATCCCCAGTGCACTCCCAGTTGCTCCCAGGATGATCCCAAT